GGCAATCGTTCTTCATTACGAATTAAATCACGCACGTATCACGGCAGTCGTCCTTTTAAGTTAAACTCAATATTTTTTTTATATCATGGCTTCTAAAAAAAGCAGGAAGGTGATTTCTGTTGAAATGAAACAGGAAATAATTAGAAGGAGTGAATGTGGGGTAAAACAGTGTGACCTCGTCAAAGAGTTTGGCCTCAGCAAGACCACCATTTCCACCATTTTGACAAATAAGGATGCAATCAAATCAGCCAAAGTAGCCAAAGGAGTATCAAAACTATTTCATGAAAAACATAGGTCTTCAATCCACGAGGAAATGGAGAGGCTATTAGCGATTTGGATTAAGGACAGGCAGGTGAAAGGTGACGTAACAACCCAAGATATTATCTGTCACAAAGCCAAGAGAATTTATGACGATCTAAAGAAAAACGTCCCTGGAAGTAGCAGCAATCAAGATAATGAAGAAGAATTCAAAGCCAGCAGGGGGTGGTTTTTTAGATTTAAGAAAAGGTGTGGAATCCACAGCGTTACTATGCATGGTGAGGCTGGCAGTGCTGACAAGAAAGAAGCAGAAAAGTTCTCTATTAACTTTCAAAAATGTATTAAGGATGAAGGATACTGCCCACAACAAGTGTTCAATGCCGATGAAACGGGTCTTTTCTGGAAAAGAATGCCGAGCAGAACCTTCATTACAAAAGAGGAGAAGAAATTGCCAGGACACAAAGCCATGAAGGACAGACTTACCCTTATGTTTTCGTCTAATGCCAGCGGAGACCTCAAGATCAAACCTCTATTGGTTTATCACTCTGAAAATCCAAGAATTTTCAAGAAAAATAACGTTATTAAGTCCAAACTGCCCGTCCATTGGAAGTCCAATCAAAAAGCCTGGGTGACCCAAGTTATCTTCAACGAATGGATTCTGGAAACCTTTGCTCCTGCCGTGAAGAAATTCTTGCTGGAAAAAGAACTGCCGCTCAAAGCCCTTCTGATAGTACTTGACAATGCCCCTTCTCACCCAAAAGACCTAGAGGAAATATTGCAGGAAAATTATCCTTTTATCAAGGTGCAGTATTTGCCACCAAACACCACATCCATTCTTCAGCCAATGGATCAGCAAGTTATTGCGAACTTTAAAAAACTCTACACTAGAGCCCTCTTTAATAAGGTGTTTGAAGAATTCGAGTTTGGTGGAGACAATATGACTGTCCGAAAGTTTTGGAAGGAGAAATTTGATGTCCTTATGGCAATACGACTTATACAGAAGGCTGGGAAGAAGTGTCACAAAGGACCCTCATTTCTGCTTGGAAGATGCTTGTGTCTTCGTGGACCCAGGAAGAAGCAGTAGTTGATGACACAGAAGTGGTGAAGGACATCATCACAGTGGCCCAAAGGTTGGAATTAGAGATAGAGGAAGAGGATGTAGAGGAGCTTATTGAGGAACACGAAGAAGAGCTGACAACTGAAGAGCTCCAAGCACTTCTGGTCCAGCAACAGGACAATGCTCAAAGGGAAGCGTCATCTGATAACGAGGAGCAACAATCAAACAATCAACCAATCCCAACTGCTGACATCAAGAACATCCTGGTCAAATGGAAAGCAGTTCAGGAGTTTACCAATGCCCACTATCCGGATTCAGCTGAAGCAAACAGGATCAACGATCTTTACTCCGATACTCTTGTCCGTTATTTCCGGCAGATGTTGGAGAAAAGAGAAAAACAAACGACTTTGGACAGGTTTTTCATGAAACCATCGGCCAAAAAGCAGAAAATGGATGAAGATGTGCAAGATTCGGTAGACTCTACTTAGTCTGTCTTAAAATTAAAAAAATGTGTGTTTTTTTTTTTAAAAAATTATGTTTTTAGATGTATCTAAATAAAAATAATAACAAAAAATTTATCTTTTTTATGTCATCTTAGCATATTTTATGCTACAGAACGAATTATTTTTTTTTAACATGTATTGTTATGGGAAAACGCGTTTCACAGAACGAACTTTTCGCATAACAAACTTGCTCCTGGAACGAATTAAGTTCGTTGTGTGAGGCACCACTGTAAATGGTTTGTATATTTAATTCCAGTCTATCACATAGAACAGTGAGGTATTAATGGGATAAGGATCTTGAAAATTTGAATGATTTCATGTGAAAGCCTTTCCATTAAACATTTGGTATGCTTTCAATCGCATTATTATTACTTTCTAGAGTGCCCAATTCAATTGCTATTTATTAGCTTTAAATTCTCTGATCTAGAAGAAAGACTGATATTAACAGGATGGCAGGATGACCGGTACAGAAAGTAAGAAGCAGGGAACTGTCCTCCTGAAAAGATAAATTGATGCTAATAAATTGTTTTACTCAAAGCTGTATGGAGAGATCATAGATTCAAAAGTGTTCTAAAAAAAAAAAAAAAAAAAAAAAAAAAAAAAAAAGTACCATATTTTTCGGACCATAAGACGCTCCGGACCATAAGATGCACCAGTTTTTAGAGAAGGGAAATGAAGAAAAAAAGATTCTGAAACAAATAGTGTCCTAAAATATTTTATGTGCATTAAAACCCAACATCACAGTCATAAACACATGTAATCAACCCTGTAAAGTAAACAGCAGCATTTAGAACCATTTTAGAGCCGGGCAAGTAAAAAAACTTTTTTTTTAAAGTATATGTGTAGGCTATATTTGGACCATAAGATGCAGGGACTTTCCCCCCCCACTTCTGGGGGGGGAAAAGTGCGTCTTATGGTCCGAAAAATACGGTAAGTCATGCCAATATTAAGGATAAAACATCCCCAAATTATTAATCTATTATATATCACATGCTCATGTGCAAATCTGCTTCTGGAAACTAAACATTCACTTTTTATTACAATCAATGTTTTTAGTCCTAGAACCTGGCTCAAGAAATGTCTGTTGGATTGAAGACTCAGTAGCTTGATAGTAAAGACAGCATATTCAGGCATAATTCCTCTGATCTGTGTCTTAGTTGTTCCCTACATAGAGTTGTTTTTATATGGAAAATAAGCGGCATCCTGTGGTAATTCCACCTCCTTGTGAGTGGAAGGGAAACAACACTGAAATGGGCGTTAGGAGACTTAGCCAAGTCCTAGCTCTTTATCTTGTGCTAATGAGTGACCTTGAACAAGTCAGATATTTTCTTGCTATTTTGGTGTTCTTTTCCCTCTTGGAAGACTATATATTAGTGATCCATTTTAAAATACACTTATCTCAGGAGGAGAAGTGGACAGCCACATCTTCATTCTTCCTTCTTTGGAGGTCTCATAGTATCCTGTAGCTTTGGTGACCACATGGGGAAGGGCTGAAATGAAAGAGATAGGGATTCGTGTGGCAGTGATTTATCTGTGTAGAACATTTAGTTCTCATGACTCAGAAGATATCAGTATTATTGCTATATCATAAAATACAAAAAATATATATGCCACGAAAAATGACCGTGAAAAAAAAATCCACAGAACTAATAGTTTAAATTTTTTGATGCCTGGCACAATAGAATGTACATTTTCCACATAAGATGAGAGATTATTTGAATTCATGTTTAGAGAAACAAAAATAAATAAATACTAGGAAACTCGGGGGAGAAAACAACTGGACATTACCTCTAAGTGTTTCCAAACATTTTTTAAATCCTCACCTGAGAATATATTTCTTGATTTTAGAGAGAGTGAGGAAGTGGGGGAGGAGAAGTGGGAGAAACATCAATGTGAGAAACATTGATTAGTTTGTCCCGCACATGTACCCTGGCTGGGGATTGAAACCTCAACCTTTTTGGTGTATAGGATGATGCTCCAACCAGCTGAGCCACCTGGCCAGGGTCTAAACGTTTTGCTAGGAACTCTAATCTGTAACAGATAAATTTAACACAATATCACTTAGACGGATGGACTTTTATCTCCAGAAGACAGGAACCAAAAATAGATTAAAAATTGGTTCTCTATTAAGTGAAGTTTCTTTTTTTCTGAACAAAGGTGAAGAAAATTTTGTTAGATTTATTGTATGATTTGATAACCAGAAGGATTCATCGAAACTGTTGATTCTATGACTATGTATAAAAAGGGAAGAAATAGCCCTAGCCAGTGTGGCTCAATGGATAGAGCATCAGCCTGCGGACTGAAGCACCTTAGGTTCGATTCTGGTCAAGGGCACATGCCTGGGTTGCAAGCTTGATTTCCAATAGGGGGCGTGCAGGAGGCGACTGATCAATGATTCTCATCATTGATCTTTCTATCTCTCTATCTCTCTGCCTTCCTCTCTGAAATCAATAAAAATACATTTTTTTAAAAAGGGGAAACAATAGAACATGCTATATGAGCTAAATGCAAGGCTTAGGAGAAAGTATCACTTTTTACTTTCATAATAACCCTTTAGCCTTCAAGACCGGAAGTACAGATCAGGACATTGAGGAGCAGTGAGATTATAAAACTTGCCTAATGTCACTCACATGTTGGTGGCAGAGCTGGGATTCAAACAGGAGACATTTTGAAATCTCATGGTTTTTCCACTATGCTGCCCCTCAGTGGATCTTTATAATAATAGTAGCAATAATAATTAACAATAATACTGCTTATTGACCACTTATTTATTATGAGCCAAGAATTGTGCAAAGACCTTTAAGTGCCTTCTTTTATTCAATTAACAAACCATGAAGAAGAGATTGTTTGCACTTTGTAAATAAAAAACACAGAGACTCGGAGAACTTAAGTGACTTTACTTACACTCACCCGGCCGGTATGTGGGAGCCAGTGTTTGCTTTTGAACCCAGAGCCCATTCAGATGCTGTTTCGAGGGCAGATTGAGAACCTGACATCTGAACTGTCCTTCAGTGGACCTGCTCCCTTTTTGGAGATGGGTCAACACAACAGGAGGATGGAGCCCCACACTGAATTTGCCTGTGTGCTGTGGCAAATACAGTCATTGGGGGCAGTTTATCCTTGCTTACCAAGTTCTTTGGATCAGAAGTCAGTAAAATTCTCTTCCTGCTTTTCTTTTGCAGATACTTGCCATTCTCGCTGAATCGACTAAAGATAATTCCCCAGTGACTAATACCTATTCTGAGCCGTTGAAACCGAGTAAGAACATTACCAAAAGGGAGTCCGGGTGTCCGGAAGGCCAACAGCGTCAGGGCAGTTTCTGCTGCCTGCCATGTCTTCCTGGTATGTCACACACACATGCAGCACTTAGAGTGCGAATCAGGGTGAGGAATAGCATCGTGATGATAAAGAAAAGGTTTTTTACAGCATTTGGTTCTCCTGTGTAACTACATTACTAAGAACAAAAAACCAGCTTGGAGATTATTTTCCCAAGATACGTTTAGCCCTAGCCAGTTTGGCTCAGTTGATAGTGTGTCGGCCTGTGGACCAAAGGATCCTGGGTTTGATTCCGGTCAAGGGCATATAACTTGGCTGCAGGCTCCTCCCTGGCCCAGGCCCAGGCTCTCATATAGGAGGCAACCAATTGATGTGTTTCTCTCACATCGGTACTTCTCTCTGTCTTTCCCTCTCTCTTTCACTCTCTAAAAATCAATGGAAAAATATCCTTGGGTTATGATCAAAAGAAAAAACACACACATTTAATTCATCTTTATAACACTTGTTGGATGTAGGTATAAATAAGTATAGTTTACAAATGCTATGTACCTCTGAAATGAGAGGATTTATCTAGTTAGCTGCATTTTTTATTAACAAAAGAAGACTCATTTGTAGGTATTAAAGCTCATCACTTCAGAACGGATTCGAATATTTCATAATAATTGTGGCACACTGAAAGCAAGTATTTCAGTACTCCTGCTCAGCTAGAGACACTGAAGCCTGCAAACAGCATTTGCATTTTGCAGCTATATAACTAGCCAAGCTAGAAAAGCAACAGACAAAAACCAACGGTCTTTAAACATCAGTATTTTGAAATTCAAACCAGTTTCAGATCGGAAATCCTTCTAACACCAGCAAATTGGAAGCTAAGCAGAATGCAGTTGTGCAAGCTGTTTTTCAAAATGGAGTAGACTGATGACTGTTTCATACAGATATGAATAAGTTCTTGCTGCTTTGTGAAGTAAGATAGGAAGATAAAGGAAAACAACACTTGGTTTTATGTGACAGATTAGCAGAATCCTAAAGGACTGTGTAGGGTTTCATGGTTGGCCTCCCAGAATCCCAGCACTCAATCTATTAAACAGGCAAGGGTCCTGCTTATAAGACGATTCTTCCAGCCTTCCCTGGCTGCCTCTCCAGGTTTTTATAACCCTACAGACAATCTCCCTTATAACCCAACCCTTTACACTTAAGGCTATTTACTCTTCTCCAAATGGGAAAAAAATGAATGCCTCTTGACTTTTGATAACTTACTAAACACCTCAATTTGTCCTGTGGATTTTAATATTTCAGTTTTATTAGTGATTAAGGTATTACATATGTGTCTTTATCCCCCCATTGCCCTCTCACTTCCCCACCTCCAATCATGCCCTCACCCCTGTTGTCTGTGTCCATAGGTTAGGCTAATATGCATGCATACAAGTCCTTTGGTTGATCTCTTTCCCTAACCACCACCCTCCCCTACCTTCCCTCTGAGGTTTGAGTACCTGATCGATGCTTCTCTATCTCTGGATCTATTTTTGTTCATCAGTTTATGTTGTTAATTATAATCCATATAAGTATTGCTATAGCATTATAAGGCCCCAGTGCATATTATAATCCAATGAGTGAGTGAGATCATATGATATTTATCTTTCTCTGACTGACTTACTTTGCTTAGCATAATGCTCTCCAGCTTCATCCACACTGTTGCAAATGGTAGGAGTTCCCTTCTTTTTATAGCAGCATAGTATTCCATTGTGTAGATGTACCACAGTTTTCTAATCCACTCATCTGCTGTTTCCAAATTTTAGCTGTTGTAAATGTTGCTGCTATGAGCATAGGGGTGCATATATCCTGCTTAAGAGCTAAGAATGCTTATGTACCATTATTTCTTTTTAATTGAAGTATGTGGGTCAAAAACTTGAAGACCTTTTTACCTACTGATACAGAAATCAATTTATAGGAAAATGTCTTAAGAAAATGGTCAAAATAAAGGGAAATGCTCTATATGTGACATTTCACTATGATACTCAATGATGTGGAACTAAGTAAATTTTGGAGTAGTCCAAAGCTAGAAATCAAAATCTTGATTTCTGATATATTTATAATATATTTCTCGATATACACAAATTCCCTTAAGAGGTGTTTTGTTTTGTTTTTTTAATTCTTTATTGTTGAAAGTGTTTCCTTAAGGAATTTCTAACTAATCTGCTGGCTGAATTAACTGGTTCTCTTTGCTCCATCTCTAAAATGTCCTGGATGGCATCCAACACATGCTAAACACTCCACCCACCTCTAGTCCCTCCTGTTGAACTTTAGGCTTTATTAATATTCAAATTGTTTTCAAATCTGTGATATAAATATGATTTCATTAAATGTTATGTAATCAATGGTATATAAATACAAAGAGAAAATAGACTTTATTTCTGTGAAAATTAGTTTGAATGCTTTGGAGAATTTCAGGAAAAGTGAGCTGCTAAACTGAGTTGTTGATGACTTAGGTGAGGGCAAAATCAATGTAAAAATTATCAAATTATAAAAATATTGAAAACTTCTCATACAGATAATTAGTGTCTATAATTTTATCAGGTTTGATTCTGGTCAAGGGCATTCTGGTTGCAGGTTTGATCCCTGGCCCTGTTTGGGGCACATGCAGGAGGTAACCAATCAGTGTGTCTCTCCCACATCAATGTTTCTCCCTCTCTCTGTCTCTCCCTTTCCCTTCCATTTTCTAAAAAAAATGTGAACGGAAAAAAGGATTTTGGAGGATTCAGCTGAAGATTAACAAAAAAACAAAAGCAGTATTTTTTTTAGTGATTTTCTATCATAAAAGTCCTTGCCACATACCATATCCAATAAGAATTTTACAGTGTGTGCATATCATATACATATATGCACATACATATTACATATGCATACACACACGTATATTTGCATACATTGGTATTATAAGAGTGCACCAAAATGATAAAAATGAATATCTCAGGCTAACATATAGGTGCTATTTGTACTTTCCTGCCTTTTCCAAATTTTCTACAAGGAGCATATGTACAATTATACTCAGAAGAAAAATGTATTATGTTCAAGAAAACAGCTGCAGTACTCATTTTTATATTTTAATAAATTTACGTTGTGTACATTGGAAAAAAGAAAAAAGCTGATTTATTCTCTCCCTGTCATGGTGTGGGCACTGTGCTAGGCATATTCTGCAGAGTTGTTCATCAAAGAAGACAATTCATTTAGTAACTGGGATAATACCACTGGCAAGCAAATAATAATTGTACTTTGGCTTGGTTTTCTTTTAAGTATTGTTACAGCATTATAAGGCCCCAGTGCACTGTATTTGAATTCAATTCCAGGTTTCTAATTTGTTTTTTTTTTCTATTGACGGAATAGTGTCCTTGTTTACTAAAATGTCATATGTTTAAATTAATTTATTTATGTAGTAAATACTTTGCCTTGTCAAAAAGAATGCCAACCAGAATTATATGAATTGCTGAAGGGGGTTATTTAGGAAGAGGAAGAAGATAAAAATGAAAATTATAAACAATAGCCAAAACCGGTTTGGCTCAGTGGATAGAGTGTCGGCCTGCGGACTGAAAGGTCCCAGGTTCGATTCCTGTCAAGGGCATGTACCTTGGTTGTGGGCACATCCCCAGTAGGGGGTGTGCAAGAGGCAACTAACTGATCTATGATTCTCTCTCATCGATGTTTCTAACTCTCTATCCCTCTCTCTTCCTCTGTAAAAAATCAATAAAAATATATTTAAAAAAATTATGAACAACAAATACGTAACTATCAACAAGTGAATCTAAAAACCAAAGGAATTAAAATATCTGATGAACAATATTAACTGGTGAATATAATAGAATCAGAGGTATGGAAGGGGAATGGTCTGACGATTCTCGGGGAAAAGGGGAGTTGGGGGGTGCGGGAAGAGACTGAACATAAACTGTGCACCTATGGATGAGAACAATGGGGAGTGGGGAAAGGGCAGAGGGTGGAATGGGAACCCGGTGGAGGGGAGCAATGGAGGGAGAAAAAAAGAGGAACATTGTAATAATCTGAACAATAAAGATTTATTTTTTTAAAAAAAAGAATGCTACGAGGTTGTTGAGAAAGTCATATGCTTAGGAAAGACAACATCAGTTATGTTTGCTATACATGTGCCCATCATTTCCATAGCCAGCTTTAGATTAGACTTTTCTTTATTCTTCGTACTTATACCATTAATAATTGGAGTCACTAGGCATGCTTTCTCTTACATTCCCCTTTTATTTTCTGACACTTCCTTTTTCATTCTCTCTCTTTTTTTCCCCCCTCATCTAGTTTCCCAGTAGCCCTTATCACCACTTGATGCCCCAGATTTATAGGTGTGCTGCCTGTCTTACCCTGAGAATGTGAAGTCTTAGAGTCCGAGGCTTTGCTTATTTCCTTTGCTTATTTCCACTCCTAGGTAGTGCCTGGAACACAATAGCCTTTAATAAGCACTTGCTAAATAAATGTATTTTCTAGGAAAAGGCATTGTTGTGTAATACTTACTAATAGCAATATGATGACTTGTTTTATTTTTAAAGTCAATGAAAGCGAATGGGAATATCATTTGAAATTGTATGCATTAAGATAACAAATCTGTTGATAAATTTTATTCTAAATATGCTCCTACCTGCCCATTATAACATACTCCTACGCTTAATGGCAAAGGAGCAGAAAGAAAAGGGAGAAAAGAGGGACTGTAAGCATTTACTAGGCATGCCCTGTGCATTTCTGGTAACAATGCAAGGTTATTATCGCCATCGTATGCATGAAGAAATGTAGGCTCAGAGAGATGAAGCATCTTGTTAAAGCTCATGGGGCTACTAAAGATTTCATCAAAGTCTTTAGAAACTTCAAATGTGCTTTTCCTTACATGTACTTGTATCAGCATCTGTGGACTTTGGAACATGAAATGAGAAACCAGGAAAAAAGTGAATGCTTTAGCACCTAAAGTTTAGGTCATCTCAGTGGCCAGCAGCAGCCATCTCAAGGCAACCTCTCCCTTCCCCCACCAAAAAGTTAATAAGGCTTTTTTTCTTCTTTTTTTTTTTTCCTGGTGCATTTGGTCATTCCAGCTTCTACCCTGCCCCTCTGTTTCCTGTCACATGTTACTATTGTTAATCATCTTTCATCACTCTTTCAGCTTTTGTCTTGGGAGACTTTCTGTCTCTTGATGTGATTTTAACAATAAGCATCTCCTCTATTGTCTTTATAGATCATTAGCTAAAGTTCCCTGTTTTAGCAGTGCTTTGCTGCCATACCTGCACACTCCCCGTGCTGTTGCATTCAAATACTTGCTCCATTTTTCTTCCTCTTGTTTTGGCAGGTGAACGGAAAAAGGATGACTGCAAAGCTCATGGGGACAAACTAGTCTGTGAGCCCTGCCAGGAAGGGAAGGAGTACACAGACAAGGAACATTTTTCTTCTACATGCAGAAGATGCGGGATTTGTGATGGAGAACATGGTATGAGTCTTAAAAAGCCATTGAAAGTGACTAATTGTAGAATGCTCCATGTAAAATCATTCATAATAGATCTGTAATTGGGATTTGGGACCCACTCTGGTGCTATGTTGGTATACAGGAAGAGGTAGGATGGGGCTGACTGGTGTAAAGCAGGACCAGGGACTGAACTAGGCTAGCCTCTCCTGAGCCAAGTCTGGGCAATCTCCCAGATGAGGGAACAGACTAAATATGAACCCTACGAAAAGGATTCATTAGCTTCAGGTAAAAGTGCAGAAACTTTTCTTCCTGTCTTGATTTATGCGTGTGCAATGGCTCTTGTTCATGGCCAGAGAGCGCTCAGAACCCTTCAAATCCAAGGACAAAAGATCCTGAGAGGTGAGTGGAATGCTTCACTTCCTTTCAGGATATAGTTTGTTCTTTTTTTTTTTTTTTTAATATATTTTATTGATTTTTGTACAGAGAGAAACAGAGAGAGATAGAGAGTTAGAAACACCGATGAGAGAGAGTCATCGATCAGCTACCTCTTGCACACCCCCTACTGGGGATATGCCCGCAACCAAGGTACATGCCCTTGACCTGAATTGAACCCGGGACCCTTCAGTCCCCAAGCTGACGCTCTATCCATTGAGCCAAACCGGTCCCGGCCAGGATATAGTTTGTTCTGATAATTCCAATTGGACCCCCGGATTTTCATGACTATCCCAACCTATTTTGAGGGCCCAGGTTAAAATATAACATATATACTCCCAGTTTTGCTTGACATTAAGAAATCTCTGGACCTAAGTTTTTCTTGTCTCCATTAAAGCTCTAAAGCAATGTTTCTCAACCCTGGCTGTACATTAGAATCACACAGGGAGCTATGAGAAATGCCCATGTGTAGGTCCACCTTAGACCAACTAAATCAGAATCTCTAAAAAGATTTGAGATTGGTCTGCTTGCCCAGATGGGGTGAAGCTTAACAATTTGCATTTCTAACAAGCTACCAGGTGATCCTAATGCTATTGGTCCACAAGCCACACTTTGCATAGCCAGGTATAGACTAGAACAGTGTTTCCCAAAGTGTGGTACGCGTACCCCCAGGGGTACGGGAAGAGTTTGGTGGGGGTGCGCGTTGCATCGGAGTTTGGTGGGGATATGCCCTGCACCGTGCTTAGCTGTGCCTAATTCTACATTCTCATGAGTACGAGGGGTACTCAGCATTACAAAAATTATAGGAGTACACATATGTCAAAAGTTTGGGAAACACTGGACTAGAAGAACGGGGGAGCTATTTAAGCAAAGGTAGGGTTTTCTTGGTTGCTGGGTTGTCTACCCATTTAAAACTCTGCTAAATGATTTCAACCATTTCAACCTGAGGTTACCTGTTTTGTATGAAAACACTAGTTGTATTTCTAAAGTCATGATGGTGTGAGTGCTCATTTAGCAGCGGATCTCAAAAATCCATGCCGCTCCTGCCCATCATTCCCATAGCCAGCATATAACTAGCTGCTATAACTAATTGTCTGAAAATTGGATTTCTAGGCTTCGAAGTGGAAAAAAACTGTACCAAGACCCAGAATGCCAAGTGCAGATGTAAACCAAACTATTTTTGTAAGGCTCCACCATGCGAACACTGTGACCCTTGCCGCACGTAAGTTTTGATCTTTTTCTGATTAATACACTATATCTATCTTAAGAGACATTGTCTTCCTAGGGGGAAGCAACACTGGGTTCTAGTCTTGCTTTGCCTCTGAACAACTGGATAACCATTTGTTCATTCAGACACCCAGGCTCCAAACTTGTATTGAACCTCCTGAGGGCTGGCCACTTAAGCTAACAAGATGAGCAAGAAGCATTTCTGACATCGAAGCTCTCAGACTAGAGGCAAGGACATTAAAAAGGCATGGTTATTGAATCAACACCATGTGACAAGCATCAGACACGTGACAGTGTATTATGAGTTATTTAGAACTTTTCAACTTTGCTGGAGGAGATGCAGTGAAGATATGATACATGGCTTGAGTCTTGGAGGAAGGTGAGCATGGATCAAGCAGGGAACCAGCAAGAGCAAAGAGACAGGGGAAGCTCCAGAGAACAGGGTACCTGGCTAGGGTGTAGGAAAGACTGAAAAGGAGCCAGGGCCAGATCATGAAGGGTTTTGTCTTTCATGCTAAAGAGCTTGGTTTTGACCCACAGTTAGAAAAACTAACTGTGCATGTCACTTTTCTTCTTCTTCCTCTTCTTCTTCTTCTTCTTCTTCTTCTTCTTCTTCTTCTTCTTCTTCTTCTTCTCCTCCTCCTCCTCCTCCTCCTCCTCCTCCTCCTCCTCCTCCTTCTTCTCCTTCTCTTTCTCCTTCTCCTTCTTCTGTTTCTTCTTTTTTTAAATTTTAAAAATATATTTTATTGACTTTTTACAGAGAGGAAGAGAGAGGGATAGAGAGTTAGAAACATCAATGAGAGAAACATCGACCAGCTGCCTCCTGCACACCCTCCATTGGGGATGTGCCCACAACCAAGGTACATGCCCTTGACTGGAATCGAACCCGGGACCTTTGAGTCCGCAGGCCGATGCTCTATTCACTGAGCCAAACCGGTTTCGGCTCTTCTTCTTCCTCCTCCTCCTCCTCCTCCTCCTCCTCCTCCTCCTCCTCCTCCTCCTCCTCTTCTTCTTCTTCTTCTTCTTCTTCTTCTTCTTCTTCTTCTTCTTCTTCTTCAATTTATTGTTATTATTATTATTATTATTATTAATCCTTACCAGAGGATATTTTTCCATTGATTTTTAAGGAGAGTGGAAAAGGGAAGTAAGAACAGAGAGAAATGTAGATGTGAGAGAAACACGTTGATTGGTTGCCTCCTGCAGGTAACCCAACCAGGGCCTGGGCCTGGGCCAGGGAGGAGCCTGCAAACAAGGTATGTGCTCTTGACTGGAATGGAACCGGGGACCTTTTGGTTCACAGGTTGATGCTCCACTGAGCTAAGCTGGCTAGGGCCATGTCACTTTTCTTATGATTAACAGAGTGAGTGTAAGTGGACCACTAAACCTCTCAGAGCTTCGGTTCCCTCACATATTAAGATGCATACAGTCATCAGTTGTCTTATGGGTCTCATATTTGTGAAGATCAGATTGGGTAACATGTATTATAAAAATAGCTTGTACTTGTAAGACACTGTTGTGCATACATATAAATATAATTAATATTATATCAATGTACCTCTCCTTAAACATGTAATCATCTTAGGTGTCACTTAGGAGTTCACCTAGTAGGTTTGAAAAGTAGGAACATTATGCTTGATGTCTCTTATTTACTAGAAGAAGAAAAAAGTAAGGTACGTGCACTTAACCTAGCCTCTTCTTTTTAGCCCCAAGTAGATATCTGAGACAGCCCTCATGATGACAGAAGTAGGGATTGGGGTTGGGAGGCGGGACTAATACAAGTCAAATAAAAACAACAATAACAGTTCTCAATACTTCATAATCTTTTTTTAACACATTTTATTGATTTTTTTACAGAGAGGAAAGTAGAGGGATAGAGAGCTAGAAACATCTATGAGAGAGAAACATCGATCAGCTTCCTCCTGAACACCTCCCACTGGGGATATGCCTGCAACCAGGGCACATGCCCTTGACTGGAATTAAACCTGGGACCCTTCAGTCCACAGGCCAACGCTCTATCCACTGAGCCAAACCAGTTAGGGCAATACTTCATAATCTTGATTTAATTTTCCTCTCACCATACCCTCACAAGCAGGTAATACTGTCTCCTTGTTTTTGGTGAGAAAACAGGATTGTGGTGGTTAAGTAACTTGCTCAAACTCACCGAGTTAGGTAATGGGTAGAGCCAAGCTTTAATTCAGACTGGGTCAGTGTTTGACTGCCTGGGGGGAAAAAATACAGAAACCTCTTAAGTATCCTAATGGCCCCTTGATGTTAAAGAGAGAAACCTCTAAGGCCCAGTGGAGTAAGTTCCCTCAGGAGCATCATGAGTGGTGGCTATTGTCTGGCCATTTTTATTGTTCTATGGGACTGCTTTGAAATTGCTTTTGGTAGTTTATCATTGTCTCCTAATATTTTAAGAGCACAGCTTATGACCAGTTTTAAGTTTATGTCAGGCTCTATTTCATTCTTCTTCTTTTCTGCCAATACTTGACTACCTTCTTTTAACTCTTGGTATTTTAAAACATAGTCATTCTTTGTTCACCCAAACATCCAAATTATGCTACAGATTTTTACCAGCTCTGCCGTGCTAATCTAGAAATAGTTGAGGGACTATGATTGCCAGAGATGCAAAAAGGACTACAATGACCCGGGATGTATAGTGTGTCATTGAGAATGATCAAGGAATTAGCCCACCAGGCTTTTTATATTTTCTCTGTATTTTTTTTTAGGTGTAAACATGGAATCATTGAGGATTGCACAGCAACCAGTGACACCAGATGTAAAGAAGGTTATTACTTTTTTTAATGAGTAGACTCTCCTTCTATTCCCACAGTAAAATATGAAGAAAAGCCAATCCCTTCTGATTCTTTGAGAGTACTTGTTTAATCTTAAAGACTGCTCATTTTCATATAAAATGTCCAATGTTCCAATCTACAGGATCCACATCTCACGCACACTTGGCGTGGCTCCTGCTCCTGGTTCCAATAGCTATACTAATATTTTTGGGTAAGTTCTTACTTTGTTCAAATTGTACATTGAAATAACTTGGAAAGGACTTGTTCAAAGAACTCCCCTCTGTCTCCGACCTATAAGAAAGCTTGCCACCAGGTAGGTAGTTAGCCCTGGTATATTTTTAATTCCTGCCACCAAATGCAAATGCACTCGTGAATGCTGAAAGAATAGATTATATTTATCCCTCAGCTACAGTTTTTGAGCAACCATTTTGGAGCACTGAGTGGCTATTCCCATCCTCACAGTGTTTTCATCCTGGCAGCAGCCAAGTTTGCCAAGAATCAGAAGTTATCTTTCATCGTCCATTGAGATTGTCCCGCATTAAGATAACACGAGAAGCAAGGGCCTTGCTGGGAAAGGCATTCAGGGAACACTTGCTAAATTTGTCCCTCTCTGTGCCTCCTCACGCTTGCTCAAACTCCATGATTTTATCATTTATCCACCATAATTTAAAATATTGTGCTATACGTTTTATGCAAGGGTTACCTAGTAAATCAGCAGATAAGCCAAATAAGCCCAAATCGAGGGTAATCTTAATTACACCAGAAAAATACCTTTTCATCATTCCGAAAACACAGGGCGATGCATCTTTCAATCACTCTGAAGCGTGCAATTGGAATAGGCTCTGTTTCTTCAGTTTAGCTTAAGATAGAGGTTACTCAGCTAAAAATACATGCAGTGTTCTATGTTTAACTGCCATAACCATGCTTGCAGACTTACACATTCCTTTCTCCCATCCCATACTGACTTCAAGGTATATATTCATTGAGTGTGTATGCTTGAGTTACTTGTGAGTGCACGTACTTGAATTTCTGGACGTTAAATGTCACTCCATGGCAAGCAAATGTCAGCTTTCCATATCCTGTGCTTCTCTGCCATGCTGTAGCCATGACATGTAGCTCCAGGTTGATGAGAGGAAATTTTGATGTCATTCAGTAAGTCAAAAGCCAGCTTTAGGCTAGGCCAGTGGTCAGCAAACTGTGGTTCGAAAGCCACATGCGGGTCTTTGGTCCCTTGAATGTGGCTCTTCCACAAAATACCACGGCCTGGGTGAGTCTATTTTGAAGACATGGCATTAGAAGTTTAACTTTTAAAACTGTGGCTCTCAAAAGAAATTTCAATCGTTGTACTGTTGATATTTGGCCCTGTTGACTAATGAGTTTGGCGACCACTGGGCTAGGCCACTGTGAGGTAATTGGATGTCTCAATTAAGGTGTAGCATATTGCCCAAAGGCGTGGCTCAGTGGTTGAGCCTCAACCTATAAACCAGGAGGTCATGTTTCGATTCCTGGTCAGGGCACATGCCTGAGTTGTGGACTCAATCTGCAATGAGGTGATGCAGGATGCAGCTGATCAATGATTCTCCCTCATCACTGATGTTTCTCTCTCTCTCTCTCTCTCTCTCTCTCTCTCTCTCTCTCTCTCTCTCTCTCTCTCTCTCTCTCTTTCTCTTTCTCTCTCTCTCAATCTCTCTCTCTCTTCCTCCATCTCTTCCTCCCCTGTTCCTCTCTGAAATTAATTTTAAAAGATGTGGCATATCTCTGGTGGGGTGAGGTTGTCCAAAATCAGGACAGTACTGTCTTTTAGGGTCACTTTACTTTTCAATGAATTTCGGCTTCTTTCTCACACTCCTCTAGTGTGACGGTAGTGTTTTCGCCAAGGTTGAGACCTGAGACTGATAGAAATTTCTTTCGTCTTTTAGGGGTGAAAAAACGGTGCTGGAATAATAATCGTCCTCAACCTACACCTCCAGATACTGTAAGTGTTGAAACACGCATCAGCTTTCTTAAAATCATAAAGTAGTAACTCAATTTTTATTCGCTACTTTTTTAAAACAAGCATTTATTGTGTCTGTGTGTGCATGGATTAGAAGGCATCAAAAAGTGATTAAGATCTGAGGCCCAGTTTATAAATAAGCTCCATACAACATAAGCATTAACACAGGACTTAAGTGAGGAGCTGCTCAAGGTCAGTTGGAAAAAGGATGTGGCCAAGCAACATGTCCCACGTTGGCGTTATTCTTGCATAGAAACTACAGAAATGCCGAAACCAGTTTATCTCAGTGGATAGAGTGTCAGCCTGCAGACTCAAGGGTCCCAGGTTCGATTCCAGTCAAGGGCATGTACCTTGGTTGTAGGCACATCCCCAGTAGGAGGTGTACAGGAAGCAGCTGATTGATGTTTCTAAATCTCTATCTCTCTCCCTTCCTCTCTGTAAAAAAAATCAATAAAATATATATACTTTTTAAAAAAAAGAAACTACAGAAACATCCTTTGCCAGAGCATGGATTCGGTATCCGAGCCCGAACAGACATAGCTCTTACAGCCCCTATAAGGGCACAGCTCAACTTTCTCCAGCCACTTGTTACCATAGCTCTCACCATATTTCTTTTCCAACATGGAATCAAAGCATTTCAAATGGCAAAAGTTACACAGGGAAGATAAACCAGTTCACTTCATGAATAATGCTTTTTCTCATGTGGTGCTGGGGCTCAGTGGGAGTTGTTTGTTTTTTTTTAAATCAATATAGCACAACACAATTTCAAGTTAAATAAAAATTTGAATGATGAAAGAATCCTTCTTAATCACTTCATCTAGCTAATTTTATATATTAAGCAACTGACTGTATTTCTTTCAGTATTAAGGAAAAATTTAAAGATTATATTAGACTATTCTAAGTATATTTTTCTCTTTTTCTCTTTCTGTCCATGTTTTGTTTTTGTTTTGTTTTCCTCTCCAGGAAAATCCCCCAGTGTTTATTACTTCAGGTAAGGCTTTTATCATTTTATTTCATAGATCTGGCTTCCATAGGAGTAGCAGGCCAATTTTAGAGTAAGATAATGCTGCTAATTTCGGTGACATATTGTGGGACCTCACTATTCTTTGAACTTACAGTTCTTCCCATTCATTACTCAGGTTTTTCAGGCAGTTTATTTAAATTTATTACTAATATTCCTAGTTAAAAATAAGTGAGGTAGCAATAAAGCACTATATTCTGAGGCCTTGGAAAATTTTTCCTTAGGAACATTTAGATGTATTATAGAACGTCTGCCTAAATTGACTTAGAGGTTCATCTGAATTGTAGATTCGTTATTATTGGTGTGTCTCAGCTCTGGAACAACAAATTATTATTCTACTCAGTTCTCTTTTTTGAGCTGTGGTTCAGAGATATGATGATCATGAATCCTTTGCCTATATCTTAGGTTTGTAGATCATTGAGCATCAGACCCATAAGGGATGTTAGGGATGTTCTTTTCTAATCTGTTGATAGATGAGAAAAGAAGACATAGAGATGTTATGTATCTTGTTCAGGTCATAGAGCAAGTTACTGGGGATATAGGAGGTCTTGGGATTAGAAGGCAAGGTTATTGCTGTTTTTGCATTTCCCTATCAGCTCTTTAGATCTCTAGGACTAACCTGTATTCTTAAGTGCTATAAGAGAAGAAGTAAATGCTTTCCAGTCATGGCAATTTTGTTTACCAGAACCAATTTTCAGAGACTATTCTCTTTTTTTCAGACATTGACTTGACTGACTACATTAGCGTTATTGCTGATATAATGACAATAAATGAAGTTAAAGATTTTGTTCGGAAGAATGGTCTCAAAGAAGCCAAAATAGATGAAATCAAGAATGACAATCTCCAAAATACAGCTGAACAGAAAGTCCAGCTGCTCCGTAATTGGTATCAAGTTCACGGGAAGAAGGATGCATATGACACTTTGATTACAGGTCTCAAAAAAAGCAAACTTTGTACTAGCGCAGAAAAAATTCAAGATATAATCCTAAAGGACATTGCTAGTAAACGTGAAAATACTAACGTCACAAATGAAAATGAAAGCCAAAAGTTTCTCTAAAGTGAAAAACAACTAGTTTTGAATATAGACAATACATAGAAAAATTAGTGTTTGAATAAGCTAAGTGAAGGCTGTAAATATTGCTTAACTTTTTACTGGGAATATTTTTCTTTTTACATTTAATATATTTGCAGAGCTATATATTTATGTGTTTTAAGGACCTCATGATTCTGTCTTCCTTCAAGAATATTTAAAATCTAGACATGCCTGTTTAAGAATAAATGCAATGGCATGGTAGGTATACACATAGGTGTATTTGCAAAGACAAAACATTGGGGTCATGCTCTAATATCTAATGTATAATTCCACAGATGTAAATATAATTACTGTATGAGAACACAAAGGTCTACCTACAGGCTGAACCCATCCATGAATCAACAGAAACTATTACCTCTTGATGCAGTGTCACAATCCCTGGAAAAAGTAGCTTTGCCTTTAACTTACCTCCCCAGTTCCAGGATGATTCTAGAGATTTTACAATACTTGTCAACTTTGTTTGAAACTCTGAACATATTCAGGGAAAGCTTGTGTATACCTCTGAATGCAGAATTTAAATAACGTTTTACTTCAAAGATGTTTACATAGATTATTGGCATGTCATTGTGAAGCATTTCAATTTTGAATTCACATAGAAAGTGCCAACTCAGTTATGCTTGAAATTTTATATTTGTATGCCAGCGCACTGTATCAAAATAATCCACCACTTTCTCAGGTGCCAAAACATTTCCATCAGGAAGTATTCCTAGAGCATCCTCTTCGTGTTGTTTTTTTTTCCTTGATGTGTGTCTTCATAGCCTCTACACTCCCAAACCTGGAAGCACTATCTATGAAACACGATGAGCCATTGTAAGTTGTGCTGCTCTTAGAAAGCTCTAGCCTGGTTTGGAGAGATTCACTGCTCTTAGAAGAGGTAGCTCTGTGCTACCTCTCATGGGCTGCCAAAGCTGATGAGGTAGTTTCTTATCTTGCCCTGTATGACTCCCATACATTCTCTTGCTACAAATGCAGCTTACACCCCGGTTTTAGGACTTGTTATTTCCTGCAGCATCTTAGATAAACAAGCCCCTTCGCCCCACCGCCACTTCCTTAATTCTACATTTAGACACTTAAGAAAATGTAAGTGAATTTTAACAAATTGTATTTATATTTGTATAGATGTAAACGGAAGATAGTTATAAACTGAAATAGATATCTCAAAATATCTAAGTAGCTTCCACTGAAGGAAAATCTCCTCTCCCCACCACTTATGTTTGGAAATGTAAAGTGTAAGTAAAAATGTTTCATGAAAGTCATTTTTTGGTATTTCTCATTATCCTTTTTTTTGTTGAGACCTTGCCTTTTTTGTTTTTTTTTTCTTCATTTCTCTAACTACAGCTAACTGTAACCTGTTCAGGAGTCTTCAATGCTGTCTTTGGTTTCTCAGGGAGTATTTACCTTTTAAACTCCTTTTGGTAGTTAAATATTTCCTTCATAGGCCATAACTTCCCCCAAAAAAAGCCTTCCCCAAAACCACATTATTATTTATTATGTGAATATTTATTATGATAGGATTATAAGTAAGGCACTGGAAATGTGGATCAGAAAGTAAATATTTCAAAAGGTAGGTTTTATTCATAAGAAAGCTCAATAGGGATTTTGAAATATTCTTTCCTGAAAACTTCCCATGTGGTTACTTGGTGACCACCAGACTATTTCTCTTTTTAAAAATTTAATTTTAGTAATATATTTTATTTAACCCACTATTCCCAAAGTATTATCATTTCAACATGTAATCAGTATAAAACCATTAATGAGATAGTTTGCATTTTTTTTTTAATATACTAAAGTCTTCAAGTCTTCAACATCTGGATTGTATTTTATTTATACTCACAAGCACATCTCAGTTTGGACTGGCTGCATTTCGAAGGTTCAATAGCTTCATGTGGTTGGTGGCCAGCACATTAGATGGTTCAGGTCTATATCTTTGTCAGGACAGGTTCGGCAGCATTGACTCTGTGCTGGCTGGTCAGGCCTGCTGTTTCCTAGGTCTGTCCAATGAGGTCCCTTCACCCTGGTTGGTGGGAAAGTCAGTATCTCTCACCGACATAGAATTATAGCCCTACAGCTCTTTGCCTAACTCTAGTGACCTCCCTGCGCATGGTATTCAGTCAAAGGCTCCAGGGAACCCCTGTACAGATTCCCGGAGCTCTCGCTCTACATAGCTGCCTTCTTTTTAGCTCTTTGGTTTATGCAATGTCTGGCAGCCTCTGTCTCCTGAACTCAAACCTCTGTGCCTCCACTCAACACGGTGACAATGCTTTGTTTAGGGTCCCCCCCCCCCCTGGGCCAGGATCTGGGAGGTCCCTCTAGGCAGAAAGTCTGAGTGATCATCGGGCTCACCTCATTAGTTTTTCTTCTCTGAAGAGTCACAGTCTGTGCTACCTGCTGTCTTGTTTGCTAGCGCTGGACAGCACGGGGCAAGTCTGGCACTGGTTATTCTTCATGGTCAGAAGCAGAAGTCCTACTCTGCAAGGTGAAGTTGAGTTAGAGAACATGATGTGTTCACTCTGTGAGTCCCAGTGAAGAAGTTGGGGTTCCTTTGGCAGGAGAAGAGAAGTTGGGAAAGTCCTTGAACTCGGTGATATGGCTCCATCCCTCATTGTTTCACCTGAGTGAGACCACTCCCATGTCCACAATCATAGCCATGTTCCCGAGTTTGAGGTTCTTAACTGGCCTTCTGTCTTTTCACTCTTGCCCCTCCAATCCATACTCCAAACAGCAGCCTCCATGATCTTTCCAAATGGCAAACTTCATTGTGTTGCTTCTCTACTTAAAATCCTCTGTGGTTTCCCACTGATCTTAGAATAGTCTACACTTGGTTTAAGAGGCCCTACAAGCCATGGGCTTTCTAGCATCTTCTCTCAACACCTTCCCCTCCCATTCTAAAGCCATGTCAAATTACTCTTTTTCCTCAACACTGCTATCCTGTTCATCCTTGCCTCTGAGTTTTTTCTTTCTTGCTTCTTCCCCCATTTTGTCTTGTTACTTCCAATTTATCAGGTCTCAGCTTTAATGCCATTTCCAATGGAATGCCACCCTGATGTCTGAACCAAGGACCTCTAATGTGTTCACATATTTTGCCATTTTGTATATAGCTGTTTGTCTCTTACTTGCTAGGCCATAAATCATGATTCACAGAATCGGTGCATTACAGAATCGATGCACAGAATCAATATTGCTTGAATGAGCAATTAAGGAACAAGTGTACGCACTAGTCTTTTGTGTTGGCTGCCCTTTGGTCAGAAAGTTAATAGTGAGTAACTGATTATATGGGGAGCTTCATCTTTTTCATGAACAATGATCATGTCATTAAATTTATCACATATATCCAAGGTCTTTCATGATGTTTCCTCTCTCTCTGCAGTATCCCAGCCTCTTTTCCCACTGCCTCCTTGATGCCCCACACTCCTTGTTTCTCACACCATTATTCTGAGTCCAAAGCTTGTCCTTGACTACTTGCATCCTGTACTCTCTGACCCCAAATTCCACTAAATTCCACTGGCTCCCCCAAGAAGTCATTACCAACTCTCTGAAAGCCTCTTCTGAAGTTATTTGCGACTGTCTTCAGGATCTCCCCTGGAATCATTTCAGTAAGCACTCTGTATGATTTTATTGTGTGTGTGTGTGTGTGTGTGTATGTGTGTGTGTGTGTGTGTGTGTGTGTGTGTGTGTGTGTGTGTGTAGTCCGATTATATACTAATATACTGTAAGGTCCTTCAAGTGATTAAAAGGGCTGGCTCCAAAAATAGTATATTTGGAGATTTGGGACCTTGCTACTTTGTAGAAATCACCTAACCTCCTTAGGCCTCAGTTTCTTCACTTATAGAAGAAGGATAATAATACATGCTGCTATGGAGAGCTGCTCTGGGGTTAAAGGTGATATCCACCTATAACACATGGGGAAGTGTTGAATATAGCTTTCCTATCATTACACTCACCTCCAGCATCCCACGGGCCCACGATGGATAGTGGTATGTCATCCATGAAGATGGATGCTGAAAAGACCACACAAAGAGCTGATGATGTTTGGATATACATCAGCTTTTACATAAAGCTCTGGCTACTTGCTTTGGAAATAAACAAACTGATTTCTTAACAGAAACTTTGCAGGCCAGAAGGGAGTAGCAAATAATATTCAAAGTGATAAAAAGCAAGGACCTACAACCAAGGTTATTCTACCCAGCAAAGCTTCATAAAGAATTGAAGGTTAGATAAAGGGCTTCACAGATAAGAAAAAAACTACAGGCGTTCATTACCACCAAATCAGTATTACAAGAATTGTTAAAGAGTCTTCTTGAAAAGAAGGAAAAGGAAGAGGAGGAGGAGAAGGAGGAAAAGGAAGAGGAGGTGGAGGAGGAGGAGGAGGAGGAGGAGGAGGAGGAGGAGGAGGAGGAGGGAGGCAATATGAATAATAAAATAAAAATAAATACATACCTATCAACAATTGAATCTATCAAAATAACGAACACGGGATCTAATGAACAAAGTAAACTAAATTAAAAAATGAACAAAATAAAATCAGCTGAAAACGGGTTGGCTCAGTGGATAGAGCATCGGCCTGCCAACTTAAGGGTCCCAGGTTCAATTCCAGTCAAGGGCATGTATCTTGGTTACAGGTACATCCCCGTGGAAGGGGGGGTGTGTGTGCAGGAGGCGGCTGGTTGATGTTTCTCTCTCATCGATGTTTCTAGCTCTCTATCCCTCTCCCTCTCTGTAAAAAAATCAATAAAAGATATTTAAAATAATAATGAAAACAGACTGATGAATCTCAGAGGGAAGTAGGGAGGGGAGTGGGAAAAGATTAACCAAAGAGCTTGCATGCATATATGCATTACTCATGGACACAGACAATGGGGCAGGCAGGATCCGGGTGGAGGAAGGCAATGGAGGGAGAAGGGGAGGGACATCTGTAATACTTTCAGTAATAAAGATATAAAAGGAAACATGGTAAAGTGGCACTATGATGCATTAAGTGTACATTTAATAATAATTTTGTAAAAATAACCCCTCCTAAAGAAATAAACATGATTCTGCAATAGAATGCAGTGAAATGGCCACGAGAGGGCAGTCAAACACTATGACAGATGACATGGTACCAAGTAAAAGGTTAAGACTGCTCTCATTTCATGCTTTTCCCTTCATTCTCTCAGTGATGATGCTGTGGTAAAAGGAATGAGATTGTTTCCACACTAGTCAATGCCAGCCAATAAGATAACAAGAACATTTTGAAGAAAGAAGGACCATCAGTTCTAGCTACTAAAGTGAGAGTGTTTCTTTTCTGGGTGGCAACCTCCCACCTCCTGTCACAAACCCCGCTGTCTGAAGTATACAGCTCAGACTAGGGATTGCAAGGATTTAAATTTGTCCTCTAAACCTGGCACCCAAAGCCCCCTTTTCAGGGGGCTCCCAGTCAAGCACATCTCATTGGAAAGTCTCCCCAACGATGCTAACAAATGGTCCAGCCACCAGACTTAGTGATTGCCTCTGCTCTGCACCTTTTCTTGGGTTACTTTTGACCTGGAATTCTCTCCCTGTCAATAAAAGTCATATGCCAACCTCTTTCCAGGCTTAGCTGAAGGCCACCTTTTGTTCTAATTATGAAGCCTTCTCTAGTACCTCAGGACAAAGACCTTCCTTACTCTAGCATTTGTGGAGTGTACCGGGCACCCATTTGTGTAAAGTGGCACCCAATACCCATTTGTGTATCAGGGCTCATGTGGCCCCTCCACTTGTGTACTGTGGATTAGAGAGGAGTGTGTTTGTGTGAACTAGCACAGTGCCTGGTTCACACAAACGTGGAACCTGTTACTGTGTCATAATGATCACTCTCATTGCATTTAGTTATATATGAAGCTTATTACCCTAAAAGCAGAGGGTAGGAGGTATGCTGGACTCTTCTTGCAGGTGTAAGCATTCGTGAAAAGTTTGCTACACGAATGACCAAAAAAACTAGTGAGCTAGTAAATTCCTAACTCATTCCTAAAACAACTTGGGGGCATATGACTCCCTGCGTTTTTTGTGATTGTGATTCTCAAGTACAACCCAGCAAATTCATTCTTTTCCCTCCCTCATTATGAAGCCAATGCACAGTCATTCAGAAAGTTCAAACAATACAGAAAGGTTTAAAGAATAAAGTGTCAATTAAAGCAGTCTCACAGAACAGAGGTAACCACACTCATTAATTTCTAGGTATACACATACACACACACACACACACACACACACACACACACAGTTAAATAAAAGTGATCACACCAAATATGCTTATAACGTGCTTTTTACTCAATGAATCACAGGTGCTTGAATAAACAAACATGGATAATTCCTTTTTAATATTCCTTTACAACATAATATCCTATTTGGATAGTTAATATTCCACTAATTCTGACTATCATGCTTTATTAAAATACAAAAGTTATCATTTATTTTGCTAAAATATAAATGCTAC